ACAAACACAATCATTCACATGCTGGACATACATTCCTTGCAATACACACACACACAGAGTCATAAAACATGGAGAAAAATCCTGTTCTCTTACCTAGTGATGAAGGTTTAAGCAGTTCTCCCAAAATATCGTAAAAGGGCAGCTTTTTCAACTTGACATCTGGATTGATGGGGAATGAGGAATTGTGGCTGTTGGAAGTCAGTGAGGTATAGCCAGTTGCCGAGGGTATGGCTGACACCCCCGCCACTGCTGGGGAGGAGGAGTAGCGTGTGTTTGTGTGGGAGGGGCTGACTCCTGGGAGGCTGGGTACGCTGGCAGACTGCGTGTAGGCCGTGATGGAACCCAGGCCCATGGGGACCTTCTGGGCTGGGTGAATCCCCGTCGGCCCGCCCGCCGCGGCTTGTGACCTGTCACCAAACGACATCATCTCTAGTCTAAGCAAAGAAAAACACAAGGAGACTACACATTAGCATGTGTTAGTTGTCCAATGTCACAAAAAATAGAAAATTTGCCTCTGACATGTAGTCAGCTGGATAGCCTTCTCTGGCATGTTTTGACATGCAGAAAAAAAGAACATGAGCTTGCCAATAAAAGGGGAAAAAAAAAAAAAAGAAAAGAAAAAAAAAAAAAAAAAAAAAAAAAGAAAAAAAAAAAAAAAATCTGTACATGATTTGCTGCCAAAAGAAACGCACATTCCTGCATTAACAAACAAAATTGAATTTTGTCAGGAGTAAAACAGATGTCACAAAACTTGAAGGCAAGACAAATGACGAGGAGCTTGTTATGAAGCACATTTACATCCTGTACGTACATTTCCCATCCAGCTGACTCTTATAAGGCAAAATTGACATGAAATATCTGCTTCAAACTACAGGGTATCAGCCTTGATTTTGAAGTCTGATTTCATGTCAACTCCCACACTAAACATGTTACCCACTACTAGTAAACAAATTACATCTTTATGATACAGACCCCTTGTGACAGCCATGCAAAACAACATACAGGAAAGCCATTATAGCATTCCTTTCACCCCTGTGGTACCAAGCTGCAGATGTGCGACAAGTCAGACTTCCTTTTCTCAATTCGCATAATATGCATAGATATGAATCTGAGCAATAACTTCTTTTACTGATTCGTCTTTTGCGTATTACACATTCTCAATTAATTCCTTTTAATTACATCCTTGCTGGAAAAGACCTACTTCTTACCTGTTAATCATTTTCTTATTTGCCAATTCCACTTCTAGACCCTTCCTTCCTAGATATTCTAAGACACAGAAATTCCATGTTGTAGGTAGAGGAGATATAAGATTCAGTGCTTATACAAATATCATTCTGTTAATCTTTAAAAGGAAAGGGACATGATGGTAAGTAATTATCTGTCCTTTACTGGCATTCTCTCTAGGTTCCCTTCTATGTCTGCAGGGAAGCATATATACACTTACCTTCAATATCAATCTTAAAAATTTCTTTGAAAAACTCTCCTTAGTCAATTCATACCCCTTACAAAAAGAGGAAGAAGAAGAAAAAAAAAGCTAATGTTTAAATTCCTCTCCCAGTATTAGCTACTCATATATCAGGCATGTCTATCCAACAAAAATATCCTACCCTTCTCTTCTACTGTATTCTCCACACATCATAAAGTGAAAAAGGCAAGGTTTAAACAAAATAAATGAATAAATCTTAAAAAAAAGTGTGGATTTTCTCCTGTTGTACCATAGGGGTCTCTACTTGTCTATAAAATACCAAGAGAACATACATTACAAAAAGCTTTTTTTCAGGTCTGACAAAAACAAGGAAATTTGGGTCTGTTTTTTAATTATAAAGTGAAGGCACTGACAAGTTTGTACAATAATATTATGGGTGCATGTTACTCTTTTTGTAGCACAGGGGGTCTTTATTTACACATGGCTCACTCAAACCTGCTAAATCAAATATCCCAAACATATATCATTCTTCATCCTCTCCCACACCACCTACAATCTGAGATACATGAGGGAATCCATATGATTCTCTAAACAAAATAATATGGTATCAACCACTAAAACACCTAGAAAAGAATAAAATATCTCAAGTTATAGTTTGATGCATCACTTGATGTTCCCAAAACCTTGATCTCTGAATCACAACTTGGATAAAAAACAACAATTACATCTAAGAGAAACAACCACCAAAGTTATAGATTAAGGCCATAAATTCTAAGAAAACAACCACCAAAAATTATAGATGAAGGACATAAATTCTATGAGAACTACAGACCAAACAAGAAAACTAATTTGCTCTATAGAGAGGAAAAATGTGCAATGCTCCACTATAAAATGCCCAGAACTATGCTTTAGTGAGATGCATAAAGTGATCTCTTTAAAGGGAAAACAAAGAATTGATAAATCAGGATAACTTATTTTAAAAATCAGTTCTCTCCAATCATACAATTGAATGAAACAAAACACTACTCACTACCACTTCCTTACATTACAGCCTTTTTTTTAAGAACGTAAGGT